TGTGGGGCTCCTCAGTGTTAAGAGTGGCCTGGTACTGGAGAAGCCCTGAGATGGCTGGGGAGTCTTCCCCAACTTTCATATTGGCTGCAGGCATCCCAGATAAGTAGAAGCAGCAACTCGTCACAAGCGAGGCACTCTCCATATCTTCTTTCCAGGGCTTCTCTCCACTGGCATCCTTCTGTTGCTGGTGAGGGTTTGCACTGAAACAAAAGTCTCTCACACATGCATCACTTAAGGACACATTCTTCTCAAAGTATATCACTTGTAACTCACTCAGGTGCAAAATATCTTTTAACACTGAGAAACATGGCTTACCCAGATGGGTCCTCTGGGTGGCTGCAGCTGTCTTGGAAGCCCTGACCTGTGATACTCCTTTTACGGATACACTCTGCTCACAATAGGCCTTCACATCATCCATTTTATGCCCACAATCTGAAAACAGAGAAATGATGAGGAAATAAATGTTGACTATGGTGGGAGGGGAAAATCCCATTATAAAAGCGTGTTGCACATACTACATTGGTTTCATGCAATTGGCTGAAAATAAAAGACCTGCAGGATGGATTAATAAGAGGCCCCTGTGAAGTTTTTGACCACTGACGATCACAAAACAAAGGAGACCTCGACAGAAATATAACAAACAAATGGCAAACGTCACATGGAAGAGAAGTGGAATGTTCAGCTCATTCTTCTGCTAACAGCATTCAGCAGATCTCTGCTGGTGACATGGGCAAGCTGTGCAGAAGGTTGGTTAAATCTTATTCCAAGTAAAATTCAATAAACAAGTAGCTGGGATTTGAGGAGTATTTACTACCTCATAACACTTGTACAGGTCCATGTTGTAGTATACTGAAGAGAGAGATGTGCAGAGGAATAGATTATGTAAAAAGGACACAAAGGCAAAGATAGCCAAAGCTAAGAAGTCACTGATGAAATGACAAGTCAGCAAAGAATCAAGTATGGAAAAGGAAAAGTATAAATGAGTTGTGGACACTGGGACCTGTACCAAACACTGTTGGACAGGAGCAAGTTCTTGGTATAATCTGAACACTGCCATTATGTCATACGTTCCCCCAGCTGCCACTCTGCAGGGCCAGGCATCTTCTGAGACCATCCGGTACATTCACTGTGTGAAAAAATCCAAGGTTTCCCCATGTACCTTCTTCTCTAGAAACACACAAACTAAATATTCCGAGTATCAATGAAAGGCAACAGAGGTAAGCAGCCATCACTTGCCCATAGCAGTTCGGCTTGCAATAGTATTCAGAGAAGGTAATATTATAAACAGCAATTGAAGGAGGGTTTTACAAGAACAGCCCGTGGTTCGTGTATGTAAAGAAGATACCCGGAACAGGCATTCACCAAGGTCCTTATCTACAGCAAAGGTGCAGAAGTGGAGGTCATGTATCTGGATATAGTCACCTGCCCTGTGAGTGTTAAGAGCAGGTGGGACCCATTAAGCTGGCTGTAAGATTGCTGACACCCAGACACTTCCTGCAGTTTCTGAGGCAACCCATGTTAGGGAAGTTTATGGAGTCTATTTCTCAGGGCTCTCCACAGAGCTCAGCATTGGCAGTCACAGCCCATTTTACAAGATAGTGGGGGAAAATAGCAGAGACCAAGTCTTGTCTTGAGAGAGAAAATGCTATGTCTGAAGAATAAAGAGTGACCTTTATTATTTCCATACTTTTACTTCTTGTGGGTATTTGTT